GACAAGAGAACGCGACAGCGCGTCCGCCGATCTTCCATGGAACGATTTGCGAATCTTGCTGATTTCGAAATATAGTAAATTCGATTCCTCGCGTCCACGTCGCGCCCTTATCAAGAGGAATCGCGGCTCGACTGCTCGATTTCCCGGAATCTGCCGGCAATCGCGAACTCGCGGGGAATGCGACAGAGGCTCGCGCGATTCGTTCGTAGCGTCGCGCTCGCGTCGAGTAATAGGCGGCCGACACGGATACAAACGACTGACTTTCCGAGAAGAGGCGAAACGTTGCGACACGATTTCTCGATGACGCGCGTTCATCAAACGACGTCTTATCGTCGCGCTGACAAACGAGGAACCAACTCTTACGCGTGTCGCTAAAAATAACCAACCCAGCCCCGCTTAGAATATTCCTTCGTTCGAGAGGAACGAAGCGCGAAGCGTTGCTCGACGCGCGCGTGTTGTAATTTTCCTCGCGAACATTTCGCCGACGTTTCGCCAACGTTTCGCCGCGGTGGAGAAACGTCGGTGTTCGTTTGGGGATTTTCCGCTGCCGGCGAGATGTCGCGACTCGTCGCGATCAGGTGGAGGAGAGAGGAGGAAGAAAGAAAGAGAGAGAAAGAGGGAAACCCCGCTGCGTGACACTGTCCTGACATTTACAGTTCAAAGGATCGCGGCCAAAGAGTATTTGCGCTGGTTCGTTAACGACTGCGTAGCTAACCTCCGCAAGTCAAATAAACGTGAAGATCGTGGTCTGTCGATACATCTCCTCCCCGTTGCGCGAATAACGTTACGACGTTATTAATGGAAACGCATCGCGTCGTTTGACGAGCGGATATCGGTCGGCTTCGAGGTGCCGGCTATTAATATCGGGTATACTTTGGTCAGTTTGGAGGAATTGGCGTGGTCAAGAACCGAGCGACCGGTATTTCCGCGTAACTTGTTTTCGCGACACCGATCAATCTCTGGCAGAGGATGAGCGCGATATTCGAGCGCGATGCGATGCGATGCGATGAAAAGAAACACAGAGAGAGAAAAAGAGAGAGAGAGAGAGAGAAAGTCGAGGGAAGATATGGAAGAATCTGTCGCTGGCAGAAGAAGAATCAAAGTGGAAAGGGTTGGAGATCCGGGCTAGACCGGGAGAAGGGGTTGTCCTCGTGTACGCGGAGGCAAGAAAAGAACCGGAGGATGGACACGTCGTCGCGAACGAAAAGCGTGGAGAGGCCGGTTAGGGCGGTCGACTTATTTATTGCCTCATTAGACGCACTCACTTTGCTCGGAGGCAGCTCCACGCTGTCTGCTCGGATAGACAGTGACGAGAGAGCAACGTTGCTGTGGCCTCAGCCTCCATTCGTCGGTGTTTGTACGCGGTCGAATAGAGAGAGGAAAAGAGAGAGACAGTGTGTGTGAGAGAGAGTCGAAAAGGGAAAGAACCACTCTCGATAGAGAGAGTACCAGAAAAAGAGAACGAACCCGTTCTCCGGCTGCCGAAAGCAGTTCGAGAAGAAGAAGAAGAAGGAACGGAACGACGCAGGAGGAGGAGGAGGAGGAGGAGGAGAATCAGCAGAAGAAGAACGGTCGCTGGGTCCACCGGCGAATTCTTCGAATATCTCTCACCGTCTCGAACGAGACCCTCGAGGATAGGAAGAAAACACGACGGAAGTTGGGAACCTCGCCTCCAAGGACATCGAGAGTAGGGTAATCCGACCGACCAACGCGAGATCCATTGCTTCTTCCTTTCCATTCGTTTCGTTTCCCATCGCGCGACCACCGGAGGAATCTGTCCGTCCAGGGACGCGACGACGAGACAGCAATGAGTAACAGAAGAGGGAAGCAACAAAATGTACGAAAAGGGGAAACACGAAGAAGAAAAAGCACGGCAAATGGAAGTGGAAAGTCACAACAGACTCGGCTTGTGTCGACTAAATACGCGCACTTAATCTAAATCATCCTTTTATTGCTCGACGACGCGGCGGAGACACGGGACACGACGCGGTGCAACCGTGGAATACGTGGAGAACGAGACTGAGCAAAGAGACCACCGCGGATGGTCGTTCCATCCGCCCAAGTGAATCGAAACGCGTACGATCTCGTTGCTCGTTTCGATTTCAAGTCGATACGAGCTGCAAAGTGCGTGTATCGCATGATTACGGATAAACCAAGACTAAGAATAGAAGAAAGAACGCGGAAGAAAAGGAGTATCCGGAGGAAACGAAGTATCCTCGGCGTACGTGGAAAGGCCAGTTCTGAACTGGCCCGAAGAATGCTCGAACAAATTGGTGGCAGGGGTTAACGCGCGACCGAGTCTAGGCTACGTTTAGAACAAGACGTCGTTTCCCAAGAACCCCGAGGAATTCGTGCCGCGACTCCCGGAGCCTTCTCGATCGGTCCCAAAGAGAGGAGAAAGAAAAGCCCCGTGTGATCGCAACGCCTTCTATTTCCGCGTACGATCTCATACGATCGCGGACTCCGGGCAAAAGCGTGCACGCGCTTAACGAATTATTCGAGGCACGCGGCTTAATGAAACCGGATCGAATCGGCAGGGGGCTAATAAAATTAGAGTAGGCACGGATAACGCGAGGGTCTTAAAATTCCGTGCATAGTACGGCTACGTCGTGCGCACGCCGTCGAAACAATTTCAAAATTCTTCCGCCGGAGAGGAACGTCTAGCGTCGGGAAACGCGGCTACGCCCCCGTCCAAACATTCCACGAAAATCGATCCGGTGCTTTTGCTTGTACGGGACACGCGTTTCAACCACGTTAACTACCTCGGCCGGCTTGTCCCCTCTAACTTTTATCGTCCTCGACGTACGTTAACTATCGTCCAGAGGAGGCAGCGCTTTAAACTAATCGCTCGTTATGTCGTCTGAACGCGCGTTCGCCATTAGCCAAGCTAAATGAAACGCCTTGCGTTTCACCTGGTGGTCGAATAAATCTCCGACAATTCGAACGACGATCCTCCGTCGTTGTGTCGTATCTTCGAACGACGAGAAGGAAAGGGGGGAAGGGGGAGCATGATCGTGACACGTATGCGTAATTAATTTCGGTACCATGGAGGCGAGAGACGCGTGGAATTGTCGCTCATACTCGCCAGAGAGAAAATCACGAGTCGCGATCGCGAAATCGTCGTCATAAACTATCGGAAAGCGGCGTAATTGCCGAGAAGCGGTGGTCTCTCCGTAACTGTAACCATCAAGCTAGACTTTTTCCGAACCGTTGAACGTTCCAACGATCGAACGAGACGCGAAATTTGTTATTTATACGGAGGAAGAAGAGAGACTAGAATTAATGGACGAATAGCGTGAGGTTTGTTTTGCGCGCGAATATTTCGCGGTCCACCGCAGTATCTCGGCAATGCTGTGCGTTAGACGATAAATCAGAGGGTCGGACGAAAATTATTTCTGTCCTCCGCGAGTCGAGGGATCGAGATGTCGCGCTCGAGGAAGTTGAGGACTAAATTTATCGCTTCGTCGACGTACCGTGAATCGAAACTGACCCTGGACAAGAGACAAAACGTTGCGCGTCCAGGCGCCTCTTCTCGGTTCGTACACACGCCGCCGGTTTCGCGGCTTTCGCGACAGGGATATATCAGGGATACCGTAAGCGTCTGACTGTAAACGGAAACGGAGCGCAGGATGCCACGTTCCGCGGAAGGGGCACGAATTTTCCGTGTTTACGTTGGCATCACGCGCATCCCTCCTCCTCCTGCTCTTCTTCGTCGAACGAAAAGGTCGAGCTTTTACAGCCGCAAATAGATAAACCGAGGCGCAAGAGGGTATCTACTAATCCTCGGCGAAACACGGAGGAGCGTCCGCGACGAAAATAAGCATTACGAGCGGAGGCTGACCGAAATACGGCTGAAATATCGGGAGCAAACATCCACTGGGAGCCGGCGTTTTACGACACAGGCGTGCGTGCAGTTGCAGCGCGCAGCGGGTGGAAGGAACCGGGTGGAGTAAAACGGGAAAGAGGCGAAGGAGGATGATCGATCAATATATCCCGCGTAGATTCGGCAGGTTGCCGGTGCTTGTGCAAGAGATCGAGCAGACGGACAGATGTTGGAATCAAATCGTTCGGGCGAATCGACTCGACCATGGACCGATAATAAAAGCGGAACGGGTTGACCTCGCGTCGCACACGGTCCGCGTGCTCTTATGATTATGATTATACCGGCGCGAGAAAGAAAGAAAGAGAGAGGCCAGGTAAGACAGAGTGCATCGGGTGGGAGTACCGGGTTGTCCAACCAGCGAGAAGGTAGCTGCGGACTGCCCACCGCGGCTCATTGGCCAACTTTGCGACCCGACCGAACGCTATCGTATTATCGACAACCGCTCGTTACGATACCGGCCGATCGATCGCCGATCTCCCGACACCTCCGCCGTCTGCACTCGTCCGTTCCACAGAGCGCAGAAAGAAAGTTAAGGACCAGAGAGAGCGACAGGTTCCAGAGAGAAATAATCAGCCGGTTACACACGCACCGGCCTCGATCTCTTTCCGCTTGGTCTAGGTCGTCGCGCGACGATCAATTAGCCGAGGTCCGTACGCGTCCCGCCGCGCGCCGGGCTAGAAAATTAACGAGCGAACCGTGTGTACCGATCGTCCGGGATATCGACGACGATTCGTTTCGAGAGCAAGTGGAAGAACGGGAACGGAGCGCGAACAGAGTTCTCTGGCAAAGAATGCGTCTGAATCCACGGCATGGATCGCAGTCTTTCTTCTCTCTGGGCTGCTCTCGATTTTTCTGCTACTTTCGAGAGACGGCTCGCGCGGTCTGGCTTGCAGGAGACGAAGAGGGATCGCGCGCAGGAGAGAACGCGCGGTCAGAGGAGGCGAGGGAACAGGCGAAACGGGGCTGCTGCCGACTTACAAATTATACGCGCTCAACGAGATTTACGGGTGACGCTTCGAGCGAGACCATTGTCCATCCTCGCTCGTTTCTTTACCTCTTTACTCTTCTATTCGGCCGTCTTTGTCCACCGCAAAAGTTGGACGCTGCTGGTCTGGCTCCGCCGCGTATCTCCACGCCACCGTGAAACGCAACGAGAGAGGCAGAGAGAGGCAGAGAGACTGCCCGAAAGCCAGGGGAACGAACCGTGGATAGTATCCCTCGCGACGAAATCGGGGAATCTCGATCGGGAGACCGGTTCCCGATCGAGTGTAATCGGCCCCCGATTCTCGCTGAAACAAGCGAACGAGACGCGTTGATCGACCAACTTCCTCGATCAACGCGGGCCTGACTGTTCGTGCAACGCGAGAAATGCCGCCGACCCACGAGAATAAAAACTTTGACGTTGGAAACCGAGTCGAGTCCGCGGAGAACATTCCTCGAACCTACTTAAATACCTGTTAAATACCTGTCGTCGAAACAAACCACGAACCTTCTAATGTATTTATCAAACACGTCCCCGTCGTGTGGACAGGTAAGAGAGCAAGGTGCGACGGTACAGTGTCGACTGCGCGCAGAAATCCTCTTTTAAATCGTTGACAAATATTTGCTCGACCTTAGGAGAGACCATCGCTTCTCGCCGCCTTCACGGGAAACTACACTTTCGAATTTCAACGCGGACGCGGAGCCTAATCTCACCGCGAGCCGCTCGTCGAATTTCCGCTCCGCATGGTGGATAGAAAAAATTCGAGAAAGTCGGGATCAGTCGTATGGCCGAGTCGAATCGGAGAGTCGCGAACTCCAGAGAGGTCCGATTCACGTGTTCCTCTTGGAAAACCAGACGAACCAGGCGAAGCACCGAAGGACTGTTTAAACGCGTTTGCAACGCGATTTGTCTCTGGATGCTGCTACCTTGGACGACGGAGCAGCGATAACTGACTATCGTCGTACAAACATTTACATAATAAACGGTGCACTCGAGCTACCGAATAATTTACGGTTCGTTCTCGCGATACCTAACCGAGCATTACACGTAACGCAGTTGCGAACAGCATGTCACTCGCTCGCCAGTTACGAATTCGCGACGTTTCGGGGCGATCTCTTCTAAGCTTGGTTTAATTACAAGATAAAAGCGATTTCGAGCGTACGAGACGGACAAACCTCCGCTCGACGACTGTCGATCCGCGGATCGAGCCTCGAGGAAAGGCCGAGATTTCCCGGTAACGGTAACGAGCAATTTAAGCGAATCGAAATGAAATCGTAAATCTCAGGACAGGTCTTACTTACCGGAGCGCAAGTAACTTCCAAAGGTGGATTTATGGCGTCATTAATCATTCCGTGTGCGCGTAACGTGCCGCGTAATTGATAACCCAGATGACGTACTTCGGAACTGGAGCACTCGTTAGTTCGTCACGTTTGGAAAATACTGACGTTAATCGCTCTTGAGGAGCAATTATTTTTCACAGAATTACCGATATAAAAAAGTGTAATGATTTTGATTACGAACGGTCATATCTCTCTCTCTCTCTCTCTCTCTCTCTCTCTC